ATTTTTACAAGATCCACAAGTATAGTGGCGTATCCGATTTGTTGTGTTCTTCTATAGTTTATATGTAAATTTGATATCTCTTATTTGGATATTAAATATTTTGAGAAGAAAGCCAAAAGAGATAAAATCATAAAATGCTGGCTAAAATCCGAAGCCTGAAAATCTAAAATTTGTCATTGTCCGACATTTATTAATCCAAAGCTTCAGGTTCCACTCAAAGAAAATAATTAAAAATAAATACTATTTGGATGTCTTTTGGACCTTTTGGTGCATTGATGACAATAAGCAAATATACACATTTTGCAATTTTGCAGGATGAATGTGATGATACAACTGGATCTATATAGTAGACCAAAAAACAGAAGACATGTGTGATGTGTATACCAATGATTGACATTTGAATTATGTGTTTTAGGGGGAGAGAACCGAACCAAGCGTAGGAAACTCATAATAATAATCACACTACACTTTTTATTAATATCTCAACCATTAAAATAAAACATAAAGTTTTGTGAAAAATTATAAAATTGAGAAGGTACTAAACTAAACTATTAGTGCATCAAAACGTTTTCTTAATCCATTTGGAGATGTTTAGTTCAAATAAACGGAACATATTTAATCCAATGCAAAAAAAAGAGAACAAACAGAATTCAGTCAAACATTTTTGTTTAAAATTTATATATCTAAGCCATAACAACCAAAAAATGTACTCTAATTGAAATCAAAAGTCAAATTAAACATCCTTGGAATTCATTATGCCAAAAAGAACAATCTTGCCATGTTTAATATTTCCTGCTAGGCGTTGGATGACATGGCTTTAATTATCATGGACAACAAAATATGAGACACAGAGACCATAACTAAATTTAGAGACACGAAATTGAAAGTCCCATGTCCGACTCTATAGGATCTTTGATCCAGTCTTGTCTCTTCACAACCTCTCTTTCTCTTCTTTTTCTTCTATTTTTACTTCCTTCAACTCCCATTTTACTCCTTCATTTTTCTTCTTCTTTCTCCCTAGTATACGCACGACCGGAAAGATGGCATTCGGGAGGGGACGTGGCAACAAACGCACTTCGACGTCGTCCTATGCGTCGACCATTACAATGGTCATCTTTGTGGCTCTGTGTGTCTTCGGTGTGTGGATGCTTTCTTCCAATTCTGTTATCCCACCGCAGATCACACAAGGCTCCACTCGAACGGCTGTCGCAGAGACAGAGAGGAGTGATGTGTCTGTCTCTTCAAACGGTAATGATGAGCCCGAACCCACGAAACAAGAGTCTGATGAGCAACCGCCATTTGAAGACAATCCGGGAAAGCTTCCAGACGATGCCGTAAAGTCTGAAGATGAGCAACGGAAGTCAGCGAAAGAGAAGAGTGAAACAACGAGCTCAACGACTCAAAAACAAGAGACCCAACAACACGATGACAAGCTTTCCGAGGAAAAAGAGAAAGATAACGGCAAGGAGAAAGAGACGGTGCAAGAGAATGAGGAGGGTCAGATGAAAAAAGTGGTCAAGGAGTTTGAAAAGGAACAGAAGCAACAGCGGGACGAGGACGCCGGGACTCAACCCAAAGGAACTCAAGGGCAAGAGCAGGGACAAGGGAAGGAACTGCCGGATGTCGAACAAGGAAATAAACAAGGGCAAGATGTGGAACAAGGAACGAATAAAGGGCAAGAACAGGATTCGAACACGGATGTGACATTCACAGATGCTACCAAACAAGAACAACCTATGGAAACGGGGCAGGGCGATACATCAGAGAACTCAAAGAATGAAGAAAACGGACAACCAGAGGAACAAAACTCAGGGAATGAGGAAACCGGACAACAAAACGAGGAGAAGACCGCGGTTAGTGAAGAAAACGGGAAGGAAGAGAAGAGCATGAAGGATGAGAATGGCCAACAGGAAGAACATACCACAGCAGAGGACGAAAGCGGAAACAAAGAAGAAGAGAGCACATCAAAGGATGAAAACACGGAGCAACAAGAAGAGCGGAAGGATGAGAAAAGACACGAGGGTTCAGAAGCGAGTGGTTTTGGCTCTGGAATACCGAAAGAATCTGCAGAATCACAGAAGTCATGGAAGAGTCAGGCAACAGAATCTAAGGACGAGAAACAAAGACAGACATCTGAATCAAATACCGTAGAGAGTATTATGGATGGAAATGCATGGGTGCTGTGCAATGCAACTGCAGGAACTGACTATATACCATGCCTAGACAACGAAGAAGCTATAATGAAACTAAGGAGTAGAAGACATTTTGAGCACAGAGAGAGACATTGCCCAGAAGATCCACCAACGTGTCTAGTCCCCCTCCCAGAAGGGTATAAGGAGTCCATCAAGTGGCCTGAAAGCAGAGACAAGGTAAAATATTCTATCCAAAAAAAAGTTTTCTTCAGGTGAAATAATGTGAAATTGGATAGAAGTTGACTCACATGTGATCTAGTAGATATGGTATCACAATGTCCCACACACAAAGCTAGCTGAGGTAAAAGGACATCAGAACTGGGTGAAAGTCACTGGCGAGTTCTTGACGTTTCCTGGTGGTGGAACACAGTTCATCCATGGAGCTCTTCATTATATCGATTTTCTTCAGCAGGTAAACTCATTTCTTGATTTCAGGGTAGCGTTAAAACTGCACTAAGTAAAAGAGAGAAAATTTATGTAAAAAATAATGGTTCTTTTTTTTCTACTATGACAGTCTTTGAAAAACATTGCGTGGGGTAAACGTACTCGGGTCATATTGGATGTTGGATGTGGAGTGGCGAGCTTTGGAGGTTTCCTCTTTGAAAGAGATGTTATAGCAATGTCTCTTGCACCGAAAGATGAACACGAGGCTCAAGTTCAGTTTGCTCTTGAAAGAAAGATTCCAGCCATCTCTGCGGTTATGGGCTCCAAGCGACTGCCATTCCCGAGCAGAGTGTTTGATCTTATCCACTGTGCACGTTGTAGAGTCCCATGGCATAATGAGGGAGGTATGCTTCTTCTGGAACTTAATCGGATGCTTAGGCCCGGAGGTTATTTTGTCTGGTCAGCAACACCAGTCTACCAGAAGCTTGAAGAAGATGTTCAAATCTGGAAAGGTAAGGACTAAAGTAAAATGCTTGAACTTAAATAGAGTTCCTCCTTTATTAGGTTTCACTGAAGCTGACATGTTTTGAGTTATATAGAAATGTCCGCGTTGACAAAATCCTTGTGCTGGGAACTTGTGACAATCAACAAGGATAAACTCAATGGTGTTGGTGCTGCAATCTACCAGAAACCTGTAACAAATGAATGTTACGAGAAAAGAAAGCACAACAAGCCTCCGTTGTGCAAAAACAACGACGATGCAAATGCAGCCTGGTATGATTGTTTCCACAATATGCAAAAATAACAAAAACTTAAAACCTTAAGGCTTTAATAGAACAAAGAAAGTCAATACCTGAATGCAAATTTCAGGTATGTACCCCTACAAGCATGTATGCATAAAGTTCCTACCAATGTGGTCGAGAGAGGAAGCAAGTGGCCAGTGAACTGGCCCCGTCGGCTTCAAACACCTCCTTACTGGCTAAACAGCTCTCAAATGGGGATCTATGGGAAACCAGCTCCTCGAGATTTCACTACAGATTATGAACATTGGAAACATGTTGTAAGCAAAGTATACATGAATGAAATAGGAATCAGCTGGTCTAATGTGAGGAATGTAATGGACATGCGAGCTGTCTACGGAGGGTAAGCATCAACGAAAAGAACTATAAAAGATCAAACAAAAATCTCAATTACCAAAACCAAACCTTTTTTTCTCTTAACTATATCAAAATGCAGGTTCGCAGCAGCTCTAAAGGACCTGCAGGTGTGGGTCATGAATGTAGTAAACATAAACTCACCAGATACACTGCCAATAATCTACGAGAGAGGCCTATTCGGAATATATCATGACTGGTGTGAATCATTTAGCACATACCCTCGAAGCTATGATCTCTTACATGCAGATCATCTTTTCTCTAAGTTGAGAACAAGGTAAAAGCTTAACTCATATCATATCCACTCTTTTTGGTACCTTTCATAAACAATCTTGAAAATATTCTCTTGTTTCTATTTCTTTTGAAAGGTGCAATCTTGTTCCAGTAATGGCAGAAGTGGATAGAATAGTAAGACCAGGAGGTAAACTCATAGTTCGTGACGAATCGAATGTGATAAGAGAAGTTGAGAACATGTTGAAGTCACTACACTGGGATGTTCATTTAACCTTCTCCAAACACCAAGAAGGAATATTAAGTGCACAAAAAGGATTCTGGAGACCAGAAACTTCTCAATGAAAGACGCTAACAGTCCGAGAATCTGCATTTGAAAATAGCAGAAGCAGCATTATAATACACACTACCCATAATATCTATAATCTCCAAAACTTGTTGCGTTTTGCAAGAATTGGATAAAGAATTGTCAGTATAAGCACTAGTTTTAGTCTTCTTAAACTATATATAGACTAATTAGAACATTTTTTTTTTTGGATATTCTATTGTAAGGCTATGACTTTGAATCATTGACTGGGAAAAGTAAGGCACACCAATAAATGAAATCTTTATCTCTTCTTCATTGCTGCTATGTTTCTACTTGGTGGAACAAAAGTGTTCAAAAGGATTAAAGTAGACATGAAATGAAACCAAAACGTTAGAATCTTAAGCTCAAATAATAGTTCAAAAGAGAGGTAAGAAAGAAGAGAATCTGACGTTATGGGCAGTAGTAGGAGTTGAAGAAGATGGTGTTCTGCAAATTCGAAGCTTTTGATCGCAATCGCCGAGTAATCCCAAACCGTTTTGAATTGAACAAGACGGGAGGAGAAAACAGAAAAGGCAAGCCATTGTTGTTGCACCTGCCCAAAGTCGTAGACGGGCCCAGCCCAAATATGGTCGTGAATTTTTTGAATGGGTAAAATTGAAAACGGTACCGTATCGCTTTGTCATTTACTCATTTAGTAAAAGTAGACATTTTTATACGTTTTTGCCGGTTGAGTGAAAAACTTTCACCAAACAAAAGTATTTATTTCGCTTTTATCTTTAAAATTATTCTATTTTGGGTTCTTGGGAAAAGAAAGATTGAGAAAAAAGAAAGGAACGAAAGAAAAAAGAAGAGAAAACTCACCACTTTATAGTTTTAGTAGAGGAGGGGGCTTTGGGCTGGGGCTCTATCATATTCAATGCTTTACCAAACTCACCTCTTCTTCTAAATTCTCACCACTCTTCTTCATACTCTCTATCTCCTTCACCGACATATCTCCTCTCTTCACTCTCTGTCTCTCATCTCAGGTACTTCCAATTTTAGGGTTCATGAATTGGTTTACTTACTCCGTTACTCGTCACATTGTTTAAATGGGTTTGAAAAAAGATGGAATTTTTCTTTGTGGCTTAGTCAAATCATGGTTCGTTTTTCCAAGTTGTGGTTCTAGGTTTTCGTGATTTTTTTTTATGTTTGAATTTGGAAAATTAAAGGAACGGTTTTTTTTTTCTTTCAGGGGGGAGTTTTTTTATTTTAAGATAAATTTTGGTGAGTTTTTGATATTTAAAAGGAACCAAAAAGAAAAGAAGAAAAAACCTAAAAAAAATTTTGGTGGGTTTTGATAGGAAACATGGAAAGTGTTGAATTGGCGTTGAAGAACAGTAACAGGAAAGATAAAAGCCTCACCGTCACCGGCGGCGCCCAAAATGGGGAAGATTTCTCCGTCGACGACTTGCTTGACTTCTCTAACGAAGACGACGACGACGTTTTCGTTGAGGATGAGACTGAATTGAAAGTACAAAGAAAAAGAGGAGTCTCTGACGAAATTACCCTTCACCGGACTAACGATTTCTCCACCGCCGATTTCCCCACAAGCGAGCTCGCCGTTCCGGTATGTATTTGTGTTTTCATTCTCTAAGATTATCCGTAATTTCATTTTTAATTTCTTGGTTTTCTTGTTAGATGGATGATTTAGCGGAACTTGAATGGTTATCAAATTTCGTAGAGGACTCTTCTTTCACGCCGTATTTGGCTCCGACGAAGAAACCGGTTTGGTTAACCGGAAATCGGAGACATCCTGTACCATCGGTTAAAGAAGAGACCTGCTTCAAAGCTCCTCCTCCTCCGGTTAAAACCAGGCCCAAACGAGTCAGAACCGGAGTCACCGGCTGGTCTCATGGTTCGGACTCATCTTCCAGTTCTACTACATCGTCGTCTTCCTCTTCTGGTCCTTCAAGCCCTCTATGGCTCGCCGGCGCTGAGTTTCTTGATGAGTCTGTGGCTAAAACACAGAAGAAGAAGAAGAAGAAGAAGAAGGTTTGTAAAAACGCTGGTCAGACGCAGACGCAAACGCAAACGCAGACTCAAACGCAGGGGAGGCGGTGTGGTCATTGTGGCGTTCAGAAAACGCCGCAGTGGAGAGCAGGACCATTAGGAGCTAAAACCTTGTGTAATGCGTGTGGTGTGCGTTACAAATCGGGTCGGTTATTACCCGAATATAGACCCGCTTGTAGCCCAACTTTCTCGAGTGAGCTTCACTCCAACCACCACCGTAAAGTCATTGAGATGCGTCGGAAGAAGGAGGCTTCTGATGAGGCTGATCAAACCGGTTTGAACCAGCCGGTTCAGGTTGTGCCGAATTTTTGAAGAAATTGGAAAGGTTCTTAGAGCAGAATTAGGATTCGACCCGGTTCAGATTTAGCACCACTTAGTATGTTAAAGGATTATCAGATTATGTATGTTTTTTAAATTTGATTTTTGTTCGTTGTAGTAGGTTTTTTTTTTGTTTTTAGTAACTGGTTAAAAATTTTAAAACTCTTATATTTGTTTTGTTGCGCATTATTTTCAGTTTTTTTTTTCCTTTTTCTTAATCACCTTTAACGTTATAATATATAGTTTGATTCAACTTACATTTTAATTGACCGTGGAGTTTCAATAGTGACAACATATTATTAAGAGTTTAAGACATGGGGACATTCCACACTTATGATCTACTTCATCATCACAATTTGATAATATTTCAATGTCATGATAGAGATGGTTCATTTTCTGGTTATAATGTATACGATGGTTGCTTTTTCGACTCCATATTTGTAGACTGATAGTTTATTAAGTGGTACAAGATCAATTTAAAATCGTTATTAAGTTGAATGGAAATGAGGACCAAAATTAGGATGAGGCTTGATTTCATTTTCAGGGTTAGTAACTTGTATATATAAAATAGCCATCGCATTTTCTCTTGTATATATAAAATTGACATAATCTAACTGAGAAAAAAAATTAAATGTACTTTTATTCAAACAAAAAAAAATAAACGTACTGGGCACACTCTTTTATTGTCTAATTTATGACGTACAAAATAGATATATCCAATTTTTGCAATGTAATAATATTCGTTGACCATATCTTTGAGATTATCACGAATTATTAGTTTTACCTTGGGACTTTATTCCTCGAATGGTTTTAGTTGACTAAGCTGGTGGTCTAATAATAATAACCTTTTATTACGTGTCGTTTCTTGAAATGCTGCATAATATATGTACCAACTATACAATTCGGAAATATATATGTACAAAAGTACCCAATAAATCTATCAAAATTACTGTTTTGCCAAAAAAAAAAAAAAAAATTCTATCAAAATTACTGATCATGCTATATAATGTAATAAAATGTAGATTACATACTAGTTTGTGTTATTGCCGTTATGTGCCATTTGACAATATTTTTTTATACCAAACTATACTTAAAACTTTTTAGAAAAAAATCAAATTGATTAAAATAACGGATATTTTTACAAGCATGAAAATAAATGGGTGCGTTAAAACAAAACGTATACCTTCAAACGTAGAAATATTAATTTTTCTAACTTTTTGGAAACATTATGCTCCTTGCATAATTCGTCTGTAACAAGAAGAATCATGTGGTGTTTTCATTCTTGTCTAGGAAAAGCGCCCGAGAGTGTTAGGTTTGTCTCCAGAAACACACAATACATATTCAAGGAAGCTCCCATCACAAGTCACCCATCGCCAAATTTAGGGGCATCCATTTGAAATGTAATTAGGGTTTAAAGTTAGAATATATATGGTCCCTAATTACATTTTCGACTGGCTTCCATTAAACTTGGAAATGGCTAATTGTAGAAAAGCTTCCTTGCCAAAGATACCAGTTTTAACATTCGTCTCACGCTTCGCTTCTCCTTCACAACGATGAAAACGTCTCCGTTTTCAAAAGTGAGATCATACTTTTTTTTTAATTTGCTAATTTTCTTATAACAAATCACGGGTTTTTTCTTTTGAGTTTAGCAACAATGACTTTTTACTTATTATCTCTTCTCTTAACTTGTTTTTTTTGTTCGTGGTAGTCGCAGTTTTAGATTTGTTATAAGAGTCATATATTGTTTTGTTTCACATTAAAGTGTCAGTTTTCTCTGAACCTCCTTTAATGTTATATCTACGTTAAGGGGTATATATGGACCGTGGAGTGAATATGAAACCGTTCGAAATTTCAGTAAGTGACACTAAGACATGGGGACACTCGACACCCATTTATCTCACTACAAGAAAAATCAACATTGATATCACGAGAGAAACGCTATAATATGTCATTTATAGCGTTTTCATAAACGCTGTTTCTGCCCCAGTTATGGTAGGTGCCACACATACAATAGCGTGTTTTTTGTATGCTATGTTAGAGACTTCTACCATAGCTCTAAGAAAACGCTTTGTTTTAATTCGTTAAATTTTGTTTTTAATTATGTAATAAGTTATTATTCATGCTATGTTATGTAGCGCTACCATAGCTATATTGAACAGAGTTACTTTAATTTATTATAGCTGTATGTTATGCTGTAATATATTATATCATAGCGCCTATTTAGTTTGTAAAATTTATGTAATTACTCAGTTTGACAGCTACGATAGATGATTTTACCATAGCATTACTAAAATGTTACATGACACTGATTTTAATTTTTTTTTGGATGCTATTGTACTTGTTTTCATGACACAACCGTGTTTTATAAAAGTACTGACAATCCCCATTGATAACAATCCAACATCCATATATTACAGAAGCCCAAACACAGAATACAAAAAAAAAGTCTCATGTCCAAGGAGTAGTTGTACCAAAAGCAGCATTGAATACTAAACACAGAATACTAAATTAAACCAAGTCTCATGTCCAAGCAGAAGTTTAACACATGATCACCTTGTCATCTGGCCATGCAAGAGTTGTGCCAAATGCGTCTTCCAAAGTCACAATTTCATCAGATGGCCTCCAAACTGCTGCATCACTTACCTTCACGATATCTACCCACACCTTAACTCCATTAGAACCCAAGGGAACAAAATGGACCTTCATATCTGGGTCATTTGAAACCCATCGTCCTTCAGCAACTACCCGCTTCCTTCCGGTAATATCCATCAGCTTGCACTTCTTATTCTCCTTTGAAACAACTTGATTACTAATACGCTGCCAATATAAATAAACCAACAGTCAGAAGACTAAGCATAAGCAACTTAATAACATATCCAAAACATCTACCTGAGATTTTCGAAGAGGAGACTGTGAATCTGGAAGAGTTTTCTTCATTGGAGAGCTTGTACCTGTTGCATCCTCAATAGGAGATTCAGAACCTGTACCTGTTGTAGATTTAGGGCCTGATGTTGCAGATTTTGCACCTGGTACAGATTTAGAACCTGATACAGTTGCTGCAGAATTCTGAAGAGGAGATTTGTGACCTGTTGTTGAATTTTCAAAAACAACTTTACTGACAGGCCAAGATACAAAAGCCATAACACAGTCCTCAAGGTATGTCATTTCCATGGTAGGCCTCCATATAAAAGTTTCAGGCTGATGGACTTGATCCACAAATACTTTAACTGCCTTTGGTCCGAGAGGGAGTCCATTAACCAATGCGCTTGGTTCTTGTGTCTGCCAACGACCTTCAGCAACAATCACTTCATCGCTAGACAAATCTAGTAGTTTGCATTTGTTCAGAGAATTTGTTCTAAGACCCTATCAAACGGTTTCAAAACAGAAATTGAATCAGTATATTGATCATGATTCTATCTATCAAGTAATATGGTTCTAGCTGAAAACTAAAATTTACCAGAGGCGCAATATCTTCTATTTGGATGTCCTTGTCAACTAGAACACACTTAGAGGCTGGCCAAGCAATTATTTGTCCAACAGCTTCCTCAACCGTGAACATGTTACTTGCTGGTCTCCAAAGGAATGCATCTGGTTTGGTAGCAGTTTCTACCAACACTTTAAGATCTGTAGGGCCTAGGCGACAGTTATTCACCAAGTCATCAGGATCAGAAGAAAGAATTCGCCCCTCAGCAATGTTTTCATCAGAATCAGACCAATCATACAACACACACTTTGGGAGTGCTCTTTTGTTCACACTCTACAAAATATTGATTTGAAAAATGTCAATTATAAAATAAAAATAAGGAATCACTGATATCAGACATTGATGTGATCTAACTTACTCTAGCAGCTGAGTTTTCACCTATTTCAGCTTCTTGTCTCTGTAATATTTAAAACTAGTCAAAATCTATGTAATAACTCAGCAACTAAATGTATAATTTGAGAACTAATAAAGTATCTAACCTGATTCTTGATTTTCAGTAATTCCTCTTGTAATTCATTGACCTTCTTAACCAATTGAACTTGCTTCTCTTGCATGTCAGTCATACATTTGGTCTTTATTTGGAAACAAGCTAATTTTGTCTTACTCATGCCTCTACCCATTGCCCTGAGCCGACCAGGATTGTCAGGTCCTAGAAGTTGGGAGAGGTGATCTTCTTCTGGATTTGTTGTCAATGTTGGAGCATCACTACCAACCAGCTCAGCTGCCTTTTTCTGCAAACAAAAAATACAGATTCTGAGTCTAACATGTAAGAGAACCAAATTCAAATACACATTCTGTGACTAATTTGCAACTTACAATCTTCTCAGCTGCATTCGTATTCACTGGCGTACCATCTTTTTTGGTACGCGACTTGACCCACACCTTCAGCCTAGTCACTTCTGATGGATCTCCACTTTCAATTTTCTGGAAAAAAAGGTAAAATATCATTAAGGGTATATGGTATATAACTGTAAACTTACAAGTAGAAATATGCTTACCATATCCTCTGCTAGTCTGACCATTCCTTTACGACTAGTAGTGTGAGGAATCTGTTTCCTTCTCCTTTCTTTATATTTATCACTCACAACCTGATAATTAAACATGTTAATCACCAACAGACCATCAAATAAACATAACAGTTGAAATCAATACCTTAAAGCTTGCACTTGTTTTGATTTTCACAAATTTCCGCCAATCAGCTGGATTAATATTATTTGGTCTCAGATTCATCCTCTGTTGGTTATTAGTAGCCCCATTAATGTCCCTCACTATGCGGGATTTGTATGATCTCCACAAATTTCCCATTTGCTTTAGCACAGCAACCTTTTGAAACTCTTCATCCAGCTCAAATCTTGCCTGCATTCACTATCTGTGTTTTTTCCACATATAGGACATCCCATTTTACCCTTAACTTTGCAGCCTGCAAGATTTCCATAAGCAGGAAAATCACTAATAGTCCAAAGAAGCATTGCCTTAAGAGTAAAAATATTTTTACTAAAGGCATCATAAGTCAACTCTCCCTTCTTCCACAGATGGTTTAAATCATCTATTAGTGGTTCTAAATAAACATCAATACTATTACCAGGCTGTTGTGGTCCAGGAATCAACAAGGTAAGCATGATGTTCTCCTTCTTCATACATAAGTGAGGAGGCAGATTATAATTAACTAACAGAACAGGCCAACAACTATACCTAGTATTCTTCATGTTGAACGGATTAAATCCATCTGTGGAAAGTCCAAGCCGGATGTTCCTTTCTTCAGCTGCAAAGGAAGGGTATTTGTCATCCATTTTTTTCCAAGTAACAGAATCTACAGGATGACGGAGTTTTCCATCGCTGCTCTTGTTACTAAAATGCCACCTTAAGTCCTTTGCCATTTCCACAGTTCTGAACATTCTCTTAAGCCGTGGGATTATTGGAAAGTATCTCAATACTTTCTGTGGGACACCTTTCTTTACTTCACCAGTGTGCATGTTAACCTTCCACCTTGAAGCCTTGCATTTTGGACAATTATCGAGCTTCTTGTACTTCTTTCTGAATAGGCAACAATCATTTACACACGCATGGATCTTCTCATATCCCATATCAAAGCTCTTCAAAAACTTCTTCACATCATACAATGATGTGTGAAGCACATTCTCCTTGGGTAACATCTTTGGCAATGTCTCAAGCAGTTCATTGAAGCTCTTGTCAGACCAGCCATTATTTGTCTTAATTCTAAACAGCTCCACAATAGCTGATAGCTTGCTATGGTTCGCACAGCTTGGATACAATGGTGTCTCCGCATCTGCTAGCTTTGCAAGAAACTCATCTTCTCTCTTGTCTTCACCTTCAGCTATCTCAACTAAGTCACCCTCTACAATCTCATCTAAGTCACCTTTACTAGCTAACTCTTCATCTAAATATTCAGCAGCTTTATATAAGTCAAATATCTCCTCATTCCAGTGGTTCACTTTGCTTTCTACTTCAGCCCCAGAGCTCACTTCTCCATGATGATACCAATCACTCCGCCGCTTGTATGCCTCATCCATTCCTCTTGTTACAAGATGATCAACCACATCACTGCCCGAGTGACGATCAATATTACGGCAGTCGATGCATGGACAAACTAGCTTATCAATGTCTCCTAAAGCCTCAGTCACAGCTCGTACAAATTTTCGAGCACCTCTCTCATAAGCAGGATCAACTCTTAAGAATAGAAGGGAAAAAAAAAAACTCTTAAAGTAATTTAAGAGTTGTCCAACATTTAAACTGTTAAAGTATTTTAATTCCTTACCTGCAGAGATGGACCCATGACTTGTCCAACATTATATGTACTAAGCGTAAGTAAGACCTTTAGAACAACAATTCAACCATAAGATACCATCTCAAGTTCTAGATAAGACATTAACACAATCTGAAACTCAAACATCTAACTGTGGTCAAGATAATACATTATATTAACACAAAGACAACAACACAAACTGACAAGAACACAAACACATAATATCTGAAAATTATTATCTCAAGTTCAGATACTTAAAGCACTACACTAAGTTTAACTCTTCACACACTTAAAACATTACACTATGTTTAACTCAAACTCAAATATAACTCAAACACATTATAAATAACAAAAAAAAGTTGAAGAACAAACCAAAACAATAGTAAGAGAATGAAAAACTACAAAATTAGTTTAGGACCAACCTGTGAGTGATTACAACAACAAGATAAGCTTCAGTTCCCCAATAATGCAATCACCAACACTTGCAAAACAATAAAATTAGTTTAGTCAATATCCTATTTAACAATAAAATCGATTAAAACTTTCAAAACCAAAACACTATTCTCGTTTCTTCATCAGGCGAAGCTCAAAACTATAAACTAAAGCACGAGCACAGATAACTAATTCTCATTCACAGACATGCAAAAGGATAGCACTTAATAGAAAACAGATCGATTAATATAAACCCTAGATTTGAAACATGGCTTGGATTTGAGCTTAATCGCGAATACAGTTCAATTAAAAACAGTTCAAAGCATATGAACCCTAAAATCGCAGAGAGAAATTAAAAAAAAAACAGATAGAAATCGATAATTTCAAGCTTGGAATCGAGCATATATTGAGCGAAATCGATAATTTCAAGGACTGCAATCAAATCTAAACAAGTCGAAATCACATTGAAATGAGAGAAAGAATGTAGTTAGAGTTGGGAAGAAAGAGATGCCTTCGATTTGAGCTAGAGAATGTGTCTGCGGCGGCGCTGGAGAATGTGTCTGCGGCGGCGCTGGAGAATGTGACTGCGGAGGAACAGAAATTTATGGCCGGCGACAAGCTTGGAATCGATTTATGGCCGGCGACAAGCTTGGATTAGAGAGAAATCGTGGATCTGAGAAGTTTAGGTTTTGTTACTAAAGAGAGTGAACAAAGGGAAAAGTTAATTATTTTGGCTAAGTGTTGGCGGAATAGGTCATTTTTGTTTCCCGCTAAAGGATTTGGGGTCTTAGCGTTTATCCGGTGCTATTATAAAGTAACCAAAATTACGAACTCATATTTTATAGCAGTTTAGGAAAATGTGCTATCTTCTACTGCTATCAATATTGATTTTTCTTGTAGTGTCTACTTCATTATTTAAGTTTGTTAATGTTTCAACGTCATGATCACATAATTGGTTCCTTTTCGATTATTATTGAAAATGCGATAGTTAATTTTAAACCTCCATATTGGTAGACTGATAGTTATCATTTATCAAATATATAAATTCAAGATCGATTGTTTTGCACACAAAATTACGAGGAAGCTTGATTTTAAGGTTCGTAAACTCCATATTAATTTTCTGTTGTTACTTGTTAATATAGCGATCAGTTTCTCTTGTATCTATAAAATTGACATACAATAAACTGAGCGAAAATGAAATTACTAGAAGACGTACTGGCCACACTCTCTTGTTGATTAATTTATTACTCTGCGTGTATCTGAATGTGACTTTCAGTGACGTACAACATCAAAATCGTTGAGAGTACGCATCGCTATAATTGTAAATTTTTATATTTACGATATTTCTGTATAAACTTGGGACTTATTCTTCGATTGGTTATGGTTGACTAAGCCGTTGGCTAGATTAAAAAAAGCTTTTACATGCCTCATCATTTCATGAATGCTGCATAACATGTGAAATACAAACTACACTATTCAAAAACATAAATATACAAACTCTTGTAATTAATTACCAAATTATTAATCATAAGATGCTGTCAAAAAAATAATATTAATCATAAGATAGTAGACATGTAACTTACTAATTTAATTTGTGCTAGTGTTAATAATTTGTTTTAGTGTCGTAATTGCACCATATCACTAGATCTATACTCAAACTTACATAATGTATTCAGTTGACAATAAGGTATTTTTGTTGTTTACTAAATTATAACACATTTGAAATTATTTTTGTTGTTGTTAAGAAGGTAAATATCTCATAAAAATGATAAAAAATTTTTAAGAATACATGATCATAGATCCATGCAATGGTCCTATAACAAAAAGATAAAAACATGAAAGCATATATGAAAATCACATTTTGACAATCCGAGCTATAGCGGACGTTCGTTTTGACAAAGGGATGGAGACATGGTTCGCAACTAGATAACAATTCTTTTCTATTCTCTTTTCAAAAATGTAATAGCAAACTTCTAAATTTGTAGCATTTATTGCATCACAAGCTTTCTTTTTGAATAAATTTTACATTCTGTTCAAAAAAAAGAAAAACACATTTTTAGTCCATGGACTTGACGCAAAACTGAAGCTAAAGGAGTAGGATGAAGTGATTACGATTTAGAAAATGTGTTTGAAACTATATAGGAACATCTTTATACAAGATACAAATTGTCGAATCATGTCTTACTTATATATCAATTTGTTATAAACTCACTTTAGATCATTACCAAATTTCTTTACTTTAAACATAATACTAGTTAATATATCTAATTGATGTAGTTGAAACTTAAAAAAGAGGAAAAACTGAAGAGAGGCGTGGGGGAGTCACGTGAAGAGCATTTCTCACCCGATTCAACTATTTTAGCTTTTACATTAATGTGGTCCATTGTCTAACTAGTTCCATATATCATCATTTGTTGGTGTTTATTTTATATAAACATGTTTATTTACATAAATATTTGTATTTATGTAAATACCCTTCTACTTGTGCAAATTTCATCACGTCTCTTGGTTACGTTTATACCGATACACCGGTTGAGAGAAGAGAAGCATCTCTTGGTTCAAACATCGCTTCATTAATATATAAGAGACGTAACGATGTAGAGAGACGGAGACAGAGAGACAAGAGAGAAGAACAATACAAGAGAAACAAAGGAGAGAAAGATTGGGATTGATTCTCATCTTCTTCTTCTCCAAATCAATTTCAGAGAATCTCAAAGTAGAGTTTGCTAGGGTCTCTGTACGGTGTTAAAACAGAGATCGATAGTTGTATCCTAAAGATAGAAGCCTACACAAAGCTACGTACACCACAGTAGGGGCTAAATTCTGTCTTAGGAGATTGCCAATTGCAAGCCTCTATCAATCTATACGTTGTTCTTATCAAGAAAAGAAGAGATCGTAAAGTACGTTTCAGTTCTGTAACAATTGTTTTTCTATTTGTTACTTATTCTATAAAGTGAACGTATTTGTTTATGGGTATTGATTTGCATCGATAATCTTCGATCAACAATCTAAGACAGAATTTACTTGTTGTTTTGAAATTGATAGATGGATCAATCTGCTGGGAATGTGAAAAATCACATTGAGAAGCCTTTTGTTTTCAAAGGAGTGGATTTCAAAAGATGGCAGCAAAAGATGATGTTCTATCTCACAACTTTGAAT